GAAGAATGGGAGAGGCATATAGATTTAACAAATGACTAAAGACCTGCTTGCCAAAAACTTCAAATATTCCTCTAGTGTCATGTATAGAAATAAAAGACTGCAGTTTGCTTGTTCTATTTGCATAAAATAATAATTCTCAGCAGTATCAATACATTTCATATGCTATGATTAAATCTTGAATATTCATGCATGCATTAAAAAGCCTTCTGTTGTTACGGCAGAACTTAATGTTATGAAATGTGTTCCAGCTTTCCTTTAGGGGAAACAATATCATTAAATGAAAATTAAATCAAAAGCTGTTGCTTATCAATGAAAACAATCATGAAAAGAAGGAGAGAAGATTGCTCTGTAAATAGTAGGAGAAGCTATATTAGATTCCCAATGAAATATGAATGTTTCATTGGCCTGGGGCCTGGAGAGACTGATATTCAAGCAGAAATGAGTGTTTTCAGACACCAAGTATTCACTGTATATACCAGTCTTGTTGTTTGTTTGGGTAAGAGAGCAGAATCCCAGCATGATAGAAGCAGAATTGAAAGAAAATGGAACAGAATTACCCATCAGGGAGCCCAGCAGAATAATGAACAGCTATGTGGAAATTTTGGATTTTAATATTAGGCAAGTTATTCCCTACATTTGTAAAAAGATGACAAGTGACTTTGTCTTCATGGCATGCTTGGTTAAGAGAAAGCCACTTATTGGCCTTTTGAAGTAGAATCACAGTAATTCAGGACACCAAGGCTGGGTGTGGTGGTTCATGTCTCTGCTATCCCAGCTACCTGGGAGAAAGAAATAGGAGAGTCATGATTGGTGGCCAGTCAGGCAAAAGTATGAGACCCTTTCTAAGAAACAAACTAAAAAGCAAAAGGGACTGGGGGTGTGGTTCAAGTGTTAGAGTGTTTGCATAGCAAGTGTGAGGCCCTGAGTTCAATCCCCAGTACAGAAAGAGAGAGAGAGCTAACAAGAAATTGAGGACACTTAGAAACTAACATTTATCAATCTTGGCATTATCAACAATTTGGGGTAGATAAGTCTTCATTGTTTGTGGAGTGCAAATCCTTGGGCCCTACCCTATAGTTAATAATAGCTAATGAACTATAAACTGGGGGTGGGCACCCTTCTATGGAGGTTGTCCAAAGTTGCAGAAATGGTAATCTAACACAATTCCCTCCCAGATCAAACAGCTGGTTAGCAACCAAAACAGTAGACCAAAGCTCATTATCCAGAATTTGCAAATTGTGACCTCAGAGAAAGAGGTGGATATTCTGTAGGAATATTTCATCCAGACACCAACCATGGTAATGATACATGAAACATCTTGCTGTGTGGCAAAAAACATTCCAAGACTGGCTGAATACATATGGTTTTCAAATTCAGTCTCCCCGCCTAGGTGTTCATGCAGAGCACTTCACTCTTATTGAAACATTAATTTTCTAAAAATAGGTTTATAATATAATTAGCTTACACACAGACTGCTTTAGTGTGTTTCTTTTTCACCATTGTCATTTTATACCTATTTCATGATGTAATCACTTAGAGATAGAAGAAGGCTTCATTTTACAATCATAGCCATGTTTTGTTAACAAGTGACATACATTGATTTAGGATTTTAAAACTTTCCCTGAGTTGAACTCACATAGAAAGTATCTTTTGTATGCTGTGATGGTTAATCTTCCTTGTCAACTTGCTTGAATTGAGAAAACACAAATGCCTAGGAGTTAAGTTTAAGCACACCACTGGGAGTGTCTGCAGTAGCATTTCCAGATATGATTAGATCACGATGGCTCTGCCCTAAGTAAGGGATTAATCCCTTGATGGATTCATAATATGATGCCATTATTGGGAAGAGGTAAAACTAGGAGGTGGAGGGCCTATTTGGAGAGAGTAGGTCATTAGAAGCCTGTCCTTGGGGGCTATATCTTGCCCTGGTCTCTTCTTATATTGCTTTCTCTCCACTTCCTGGCTGCCATGATGTGAACTGCTTTGCCCCACCACACTTTCTCTACTATGATGGACAATACCTCTGAACAGTGAACTAAAATAAATCTTTCCTCCTTTAACTTGTTCCCTCAGGAACAAGTGACACAAAAGTAATTAATATACATGTCAACTCTATGCATTTGAGAAGCCCTATTTAGATTGCTTGTTTTTAAAAGAAGTAGCAAAAATGTAGATTACTGTGCAAAAGTAACTTTTAATCACTGATAAATGACTGTGGAATATGAAATGAAAAGTAAGCCACACTTTCTCACCCAACTTTTCTGCTCTTTTTAAACAAAATACATCCCCAGGAATGTTTTTAAGCTAACTCTGACTTCTTGCTTCTGTACCCTCTACACTCTGGTTACTGTGGGAATGCAGGTCTCTAATTCCAAAGGAGAGTTGTGATACCAATTTGTCCTTTTCGTGAGAAATGGCTAGTAAGCAATGGTGGAACACATTGCCCACAGGAGGAGGATGGCAGTGTGTGGATTTATATCACTTAGGAGGCCACAGAGGGCCTGTTTGCTATTTCTGTAGACCAGAGAGGACTTTCCCAATTCTGATTTATGCCAATAAACCCTTTAGAGATGTCAATTTCTTTCCCCCTTTAGTGTTATTTGTGCAATATCCAGAAATAATTTTGCAGATTTGAATACACACATGAACTCACAAAGCAGCTAAAGAGCACTCAATGTGCCTTTTCCCAAAAGGCACTTAGGGGGAGGGGGTGGGGGCAGGGGGGAGAAATGACCCAAGCATTGTATGCATATATGAATAATAAAACAATAATAATAAAAAAAAAACCAAAAGGCACTTAGGGTTACTTCTTCAGAGAGGCAAATGAGTCAGAAGGAAGGGCTCTGGAAACCTCCATTATGACATCTCTGTGACCTAAAAGGGATGGGAAGAAGGAAAAATTGGACTGAAGGTGTGAAGATCAAGACTGACCAAGCAGAACGTGGCAGGCACAGCTAACTAAAATGCTGCTTGCTTCCTGCATACTTAATTAGCCTAAAGACTGGGCAATGCCCTGGAGAAAATACATAAAATCTCATATTATGTCACTTCTTTGGCACCCTCTTTTGGGACTCCCTCTCCCCGCCAACTCTGGGGGCTCTACTCACACACTTTAAGTTTCTCTATCTCAATAAACTCTCCTGCTTTACTTGCAAAAAAAAAAAAAAGTCTGAGCTCAGTATAGTGTAGTAATTAAAAAGGTAGGCTTTTTCAAATGGGATAAATAGTGGCAACAAAGGAGAGTTATCTCTTCCCCCATCTCTATTAGATTCCCAGACCGCCTCAAAAAGTGGTATTTAGAGAAAGAATACTTCAAAACTAAATCCTTCTCCACGCCATCTCCCACACCAGTCTTCTTTCCAAAAGACATGCAAGTCCTAATGCATAGTAGCCTTTTCAAACTGCCTGGACTTGAAGTATTAGCTGCCGCTTACTAGTGATTGAGCTATCTAAAATAAGGATAATTAAAAACTTGCTGAATTTCTGGAACTGTTGAAGGACAGAGTTCCCATTTTATAACTTTCACCAGTTGTTATTTGTTCTATTACAAGAATTATCATTGCTTTTTTTGGAGCAAATTATGATTATAAAATGAAATCTTTAGCTGTAATTTATAAAACACACAGGATAAAAGCAAACTTCTTAACATAGTCATGTGTCTTGGGATCATCCATAAGTAATATTTTATTTAATACATGAAAACCTTAATTTTTATAGAATATATAGCAAGGTGGATTTTAGAAAAATACCCTCCATTTCATTAACTCAAAGTAATTCAACCTATGGAAAACTTTCCTTATTTTTGTCACAGGAAATTTTAGAAAGGTCAAGCAGTAAGTAAGATTAATCATCTGAAGAAGTCTTGTCTTTGGCATGTCTAAGAACTTTTAGATTTCTAGAAGTGTGATTTCTATAAGTGATTTGTAGTAGTGATGACTCTCTCCACATATCTTGAAATTAGCCATATGGTGTAGATAGGAGTCAGTCATTTGGGGAAATTATTAAGTTAGTTGAGGTATAGTAGTCCTCACTTATCCTTAATTTCTCTTCTCCAGGTTTCCAGGTTTCAATTACTCAATTATTATATTCCTTCTGACTTATGGTCAGAAGGTTAACAGATTAATGCAATGTCAAATTACCTGTTGTCATTTCCCTCACTTCATCTCATCATGTAACACACATCATCGTCATCACAATAAAATATTTTGAGAGACCATAGTCCAGTGACTTTTATGGCAATAAATAATGTTACAATGTTCTATTTTATTACTTATTATTTCTAGTAGACACCTCTCAAGGCTCCTATCAAAGTCTGCCTAGTAGACACTATTAGACACCTCTCAAGGTGGTGTCTAATTTATAAATTAAAACTTATTTTATGTATGTGTAGAAAAAACAGCATATAGGGGTTCAGTACTATCCTCGGTTTCAGGCATCCATTGGATATCTGTAATGTCTACCTCATGATAAGGGTGGGGGCTGCTGTCTTCAGAAGTGTTGACTAAATACTATCCCTCTGACTTAGAGAAGTAACAACCTGTTAGAAAATACCATCAGAAACCAAGAGCTTGCAAACTTACTTGCCACAAAATTAGCACTCTTACAGAGCAGTTTGACTTTGTTGTTAAGGATTGAAAATAATGTAAATGAAGTGCCCAGAACAAATACTGTAGTCTCACAATAAATAGTAGCTATTACTGATACTTCTTGCCATAGAGGACCATTTATTCTCGTTTATACCTATCAAAGCCTGGCGTTATGTGGTGATTATACAAGTGTTTATTTAATAAGTTAATGAGCAACATCAACAACAAACCTGATCCACTCTGTGACCAAAAGGCCTCAGTTTAGACTAAGATGCTCCCAGAAAATCACTGATGAGTCGGTCCACAAGACTAAACTACATGTCCCAGCATGCAGTCAAACTCCGGGGTTGCAGCACATCCTGGGAAGGAAGTTTCCGGCTCTCCATTGGCCACGCAGGGGAAGCGCTGAAGTTTGCGCTCATCGTGCGTACGTCCGTACGGAGACTACGCAGATCTTCTCTTCTGAGTTCTGCGGAACTCCTTTTGAGAGGACGTATTTTAGCCGGCAAGATTTAAGAACCGTTTCATTTCCGGTACTACCGGAAGCAAGTTGAGATGGCGTCCTCCTCGCAGAGTGGGCTTGCTACAGAAGCAGCAAAAAGTGAATTTCGCAACCAGAAGCCGAAGCCGGAGAACCAAGGTGAGATTGTGTGAGAACCGAAGCCTGGAGCTTGTAAATATTGAATTACGATATTTTTCTTTCGTTGGCCATGGACGTACGAGGCCTTCTGTAGCCTGTTTTGAGCAGTTAAGTGCATAAGTACAATTGGTGATGATTGAGGATATTGACTAGGTGGACAGTACCATGCTGGCCCCGGGTTTCCAACTCGTTGCCTTTTTTTTTTTTGGCAGTACTGGGATTTGAACTCGGCCTCGCGCTCGCTAGACAGGCGCTTCACCCCTTTTGCCAGAAGTTCCCCCAAAGTCAATATTTTGTGGACTCCTCTCCTGTAAAAGGTGAGGACTAAGAAATTGCAGAGGGTACTGCCGAACCTCACAGGCATCGGAAGCCTAAGTCGTTGAGAGGATGAGGAATAGGATGTGGGATGTAAGTAATCCTTATGTATAGTGACCTCTGATAATGAAGGAGACATATTTAGTTATATGGGGAAGGAGCTGTCTGCCATGTTCGTGGCTCTAGCCAGTAAATAAAGAAGTTTTTGGAACATTTACCATTATTCTTTTTTGTCAGACTGGTAACATTTTAGACGGTATAGTTTTTAGTCTTTATATTTGTCCTATTTTTAGTCCTGTTTGTAGGACTGTTTGTCCTATTTGTAGGCCGGTTTTACCCACCTTCTTCAGTATGAATGATAGGAGCAGATACTAGAGAAATAGCCCAGGGCGCTGCACAACCAAGCTTGTAGGAAGTATCAAAAAACTTGAATTCTCATTATAGATGCACCAGGAAGGTGTTTGGTGTTTTTTATTGTTGCATTAAAAAATGAGTATGTAATATACGTGGCAGGGATTCGAGATAAAATTAAGAGATCAAAAAGAACAGTCAAGGAACTAAAGCACTCAGATTAAGTAGAATAGACATCACCATATCTCAAAAGCCCCCTACCTGCACCTCTGATCTTACTCTCCTGTCTGGTACCTGAAGTAATCATTCTGAATGGTTTTGGGCATTCTGTTACTTTTTAAAAAATAGTCTTTACCATCTATTAAACAAATGGTTTAATTTTGCCTCTTTGAATTTTATATGAACAAAAGCAGAGCGTATGCATTCTTCTGTGACTTGCTTAGGCTTAGCTTCGTTTTGGTTATTTAGCCAGTCTAATACTTATAGGTGACTTTATTTTCAGTATTATATGGCATTTCCTTGTATAAATATACCCATTTTATATTTTTAGTCTACCGTTGGTGGACATTGGAGTGTACCCATTGTTTGCTATTAATAAACAATGCTTTGTGCATGTCTTATGTTAAGGTGTTCAAGGGTTTCTCTGTGAATAGAGAATTGGAAACACTAAAGTGTAGGGTATATGTAAGTTGTGCTAACACTTTTCCAAAAGGACTTGGCTAGTTTTGACTCCCTGTAGCAGTGGATGTGAATTCTCATTGCCCTAAATGCACACTAATATTTTATTATCTGAGTTTTGAATTTCTGTCATTTTCTTAGATATGAAATGATGTGTGGTTGTGGCTTTAATTTGAACTTCCCTGATCAGTAATAAGGTTGCACATCTTTACACATTTTGAGGATATTTGTATGTCCTGTATTGTGAAACTTTTTTTTTTTTTTTTGTTAGTTTTAAGGTTGGGGTGGGTGACACTTTTCTGATTGATAGCCATTGAAGTATTCAAATTGGATAGGGACTTAATCAAATATGCACTTTAAGCACTGTTGTAGAATTTGAGGGTTTTTTCTAAAAGGCTGTTAGGTAGTTAATGTTATACGAGTACTATATAGTTCTCTGTAATTTGAACCAGAAATAGCAAAGTGGATGGGAATAAAAGAAACAGAAAGCTGGTTTACACGACTGGAGTTGATAGCTTGGACTAAAGGCCTGCTTTTCAAACTTTAGTGTATTTAAGAACCTCCTGTTGAGATTGATAAAACACAGATTCATGCCAGAATCATCTAGGGCAAAGGCTAGATTTGGCCTTCATCCCAGAGATTCTGATTAAGTAGGTTCGGGATGGATCCCAAGAATTGCATTTCTAACAAACTTCCACTTTCTGCTGATGCTACACATTTATAGATTATATCTTCAAGTAGAACCGAATTAAGAGAATAGCTATTGGATTTGAGGGGTTCTTGAATTCCAGGACCAGAAGTTTTAATAAATGGTGCAGAAGATAATGTATGGCTCTTAAGAGGCATCTTTTTTTGGTAAAAGGAGTCCTAGACTGAGTCATCTTTATGACCCTTTCTGCAAGTTACTGAACCTTTATGTCTTCTCCTATAAAATGGGAATACCACTACTAGTTCTACCTATTTTCATATTGCCATGAAAGGCGTATAGAATGGGACACAGAAAACTCTTTGGAAAACGTTAAATCCTATACCAAAGATTATTAACTGGCATTATATGCCAGAATCTGCATACATATACACTCCAACACACACACACACACACACACACACACACACACACGCCAGGCAAGTCAGAAAGGTTACTAATATTTAAAATGGTGGTGTAAATAAAGTGGTATCTGAATATAGTGCAATAGAAGTTTCTTGAATATCCTTAAGTGACAGTTATGTGCTAACTAGTGTGGATAGAAGAAGGGTCCTTGCCCTTAACTTTTTCTTACGAGGCAACTACAATGTATCTGGATAATTTTACAATGCTTATGGTAATAACAGAATCATATTCTTAGATTGGTGAGTAATACAAAAAGCGGGGAAGAGGAAATGCAAGAAGAGTACTTTAAGAATAAATGTATATAATGTTCACAAAGTACCTACCCAAAAGGTCATTAATATGCAATGTGTAAATTTTTTCTCAGCTGTAGATGAACCAGAACTCCTTACTGTTCCTGATGGTTGGAAGGAACCTTCTTTTTCTAAAGAGGACAATCCCAGAGGACTCTTGGAGGAGAGCAGTTTTGCAACTTTGTTTCCAAAATACAGAGAGGCTTACTTGAAAGAGTGTTGGCCTTTGGTGCAGAAAGCCTTAAATGAACATGTATGTGTATTTTATCATTTTATCCGTTTGAGATTTTGCTCTTGCTTGTGCCTCTACTTTTAATTAAGTGTATGTGTGCTGATGGGTTTTTTTTTTTTTTCTTTTTTATTATTTGGATTTTGTTTTTAGAGGTGCTAGCATAGCTGGTTAAATTGGTTCCTTTGGTGTTTAAAGTTTAGGTAAGCTTTATTCTTACAGTTCATTTATTTCAATTTTGTAAGTAATAACCCACTTTGAAAAGTTCACATACCTGTATAATTTTAAAGGTCTCATGAACTGCCTAAATCTCATCTGTGAAGTCCAAGTTTTAGAATGCCTAGTCTAGGCTGTGATAGTTGCCATGTATCTTTCCTAACTAAATTCTTAACTTTCATTTTAAATGAAAGATGTTGATGTAGCCACCTTTCCCTATTTATCTCTGCTACCCATGTCCCAAGAATAGTGTTTCTGGTTTCAGTTTTCAAACTGAATATTGAAGTACGTTAGTGGATTGAGAAGTCAATTTAGTGGCTATAATGAGCTTTAAAAAACAGAATGTATCACCTGTGGTTAGGGTGTGTATTGTTTTACAGTATGTCTGTATATCTGTGCAGGCTTGTATATGTTGTGTGTGCTAGGCTGTGATGTAAAATGGATTTCTCGTGCTGGATGGCTCTGGAGTTGGTTGTACCCACTGGGAACAAAGGTGACTTAGCAAACTGAAGACTGTATTTTATAGCTATCTACATCTAGTATTGAGCTCAATTTTTTTTCTTGTAAATGCAAAGAAAGGCAATTTTATGTTGAATTGTTCATCACTTACTATATTAAAATAATTCTTCAATTATGTCCCAAGTCAGAAAATAGCATTTTTATTTGTTTGGTTGAAATCTAGTTCTCACTATTAAGAATTAATGCTTACTTTTCCTAATTGCTTCTTTCCAGACCTATGATAATTTGTTTTTGTATTTAGTCCCCTAACTAGCTAGAAAAAAATTTGAAAGGAAAATTCATTTCTCACTCCTTGGAGATTGGACCTGAGTCCAGGATAGGGAAGCTACATAAGCTATACAGTTTTACTTTAGTTAGGTTTTACTTTGGTCACATTTGGGTTGATATATATATTTAAAAAAAGGGATAATCTTTATTCTAGTAAGTAAGTATTCTAGAGCCAAATATAAATGATTTCAATTGTCTCAGTTTCTTATATTCTGTGACACTTTAAAGTAATCAAATACACATTATATACCCAGCTTCTTCAAGGAGGGAGTTGATAGAATTTCAGAGATGGCTTAAAGGCCCAGAAGTTAATAGTTTGGATGGCATAGGCTCTATAATTACCTAAAACTGAATTCATTTTTAGGCAACTGCTTCTCTGATCTTTCTTTGCTTTTGTAGCATGTTAATGCAACCCTGGACCTGATTGAGGGCAGCATGACTGTGTGTACTACAAAGAAGACTTTTGATCCATATATCGTCATTAGGGCCAGAGACCTAATAAAACTGTTAGCAAGGAGTGTTTCATTTGAACAGGTAGGTCTAGAATCACAGAGACTGCTTTATTTGCATCAGTATTAGATGGACTAAACACTGTATCTTTCCCTTCCTCACTTTTGTCCTCCTTTATTCTCCTTTTTTCATCATTGAGTTTTCATGTTTGTGCTTAGATAGTAGCCTAGCTTGGAAAATCAATTCTAAAGAATATTGACATATTTTTATTTTTCTGAAAGGCAGTACGAATTCTCCAGGATGATGTTGCATGTGACATCATTAAAATAGGTTCTTTAGTAAGAAACAAAGAGAGATTTGTAAAAAGAAGACAACGGCTTATTGGTCCCAAAGGATCTACATTGAAGGTACTTTTTGTCAGTGGAAAACTTAAGTGTCTATCATTAATTTTTCAGTGTATTGATTTTCATTTTACTGCTTTTAATGTAGGCATTGGAACTCTTAACAAACTGTTACATTATGGTTCAGGGAAATACAGTTTCAGCCATTGGACCTTTTAGTGGCTTAAAGGAGGTGAGAACTATTATTTTTTTATTTTCAGCAAATAACAGATTAATTTATTTGTAATAGTTCATTGGATAATATGTTTTATAATCAGTTTGTATTTTTAGAATGTCTTTGATTGCTTGTTAGTAAATACTTTGTATATCATGTAACTTAAGGGAATCAGCATTCCTGGCCCCTTCCATATTTTGGCCAGCCTTTGGAGACTGGAAGCATCCATTTCTGAATTTGGTTTGTATACTCTCACTTTTTCCACTATAAAAATTTAATAAAATTTAAATCTTACTCAGTAGCAAATACAAGAAAGATGGTGCTCTTAATGTGCTCAAATGATTGGAAAATGGATGTGGGGAAAGGGTGTAGAAGAGTGAATATGGTGCAAATACTGTGTATACATGTATGTAAATGGAAAAATGAGACCTGTTGAAACTAGGAATGGGGGGAGGAATGATAAAGGAGAATGATGGAGGGGGTGAATTCAAGTATGATATATTTGATATAGTGTAAGAACTTTTGTAAATGCTACAATGTACCCCTAGCACAATAAAAAAAAAATTGTATTATTTGCAATAATCTATACAGCCAGTAGAGGTCAGACTCTGAAAGACACCTTTTCTTTTACTTGAGTTTTAGTATGTTTATTTAATGTTCTCATAAACAGTTTAACTTGTCAAATGTTATGAGAAAATTTGAGCAGCAAATTCTGTTTCTGTTAGCTCCTTTTGATGATATTACTATATGTATCTGCTGTGCAGTTTTGCTTCCTTCTTAGGAAGCCTTAATAGTAATTCTATTGGCCCCTTTTCTTCACAAACCATCCTTTTCTCATATGGCATTAATATCTTAAATATATTGAATACTTTATGGTTTTGTTGGCTAGTTATATTTCAGTGGTAGAGTGGCTTGCCTAGCATAAACAAAGCTCTGGGTTTGATCCCCAGCACTAAAAAAAGAAAGAAAAAGGAAAAAGGGAGGACATACGTTATAGTTTTGTAAAATCTTTGAAATGTCTTACTTAATTCTTATAGTAGACTTGAGCTATGTAGCTTTATCTCTATGAAAAAGCTGGAGCAGGATAATTAACTGACTTATGAAGTGGGCAGTCCCTCAATTTGAGCCCATATTTTCTAAACATAAATCCAGCAATCTTTCCTCTAAGTCACAAGCTCCAGAGTGTTATATTAGTTCTCTGTATCATATTTCATCAATAATAGAGAAATTATTGGATGCAAGGGAGGTCAGCTACTATTATGAAAAAGCAGTCGAAGAAGTTACCATGTTCAGTGTGCTAGTCATTCCCTGATTCATAGGATGTAAGTGACTAATTTGTTTTTCTTTGCAATTTTCAGGTTCGAAAAGTAGTCCTAGATACTATGAAGAATATTCATCCAATTTATAACATTAAAGTGAGTGTTAATTTTTTATCACTAAACAATGATTGTCAAACTTCTTTTAGTTACGGGAACCTTTCTTGAAATTACATCTTTTATGAAAGCGTAATATATAGACAGATAAAGCAGAGCTATTTGAGGTGAGTTATGGGTAGAATTCAGCCTATTCAACTCTACTCCAGTCTTTCAGGGATTATATCTCTTGTATAAAAACTATTGAAAGATACTGTCATTTATATAGTTCTAATACATTGAAAATAGGCCTTACAGAATTTATCATAGATACCAATTCAGTCTCCTTAGATTATGAGCTCGTACATTATATTTAAGAATGTAATCTTTTAGGATTCTGCCTACTTCTATTAAAATCTGGAATATTACAGATTGCACTAAAACTTTCTTTAGAACTTTGCATACAAAGTTTGTGATTGTACTTAGAAATATAACTGGTATAATGAGTTCTTTATGATGGGATTTGTTGTGCAATGCATCTGAATTTGATGAAGTTAAGTTAAATGTCACAGAATTAGGTTGAAACTGCTTTTGAGAAACACTGGAACATTACAGATAAAAAAGAAAGCTAAGGCTGGGCACTGGTGGCTCCTACCTGTAATACTACCTACCTGTGAGGCATAGATCAGGAGGGTCAAAGTTCAAGGCCAGTTTAGGCAAGTTGTGGACTTCCATCTCTAAAATAACCAGAGCAAAATGGACTGGGGGTGGGGCTTAAGTGGGAAAGCGCCTGCTTTGCAAGCACAAAGCCCTGAGTACAAATCCCAGTCTCACAAAAGAAAAAAAAAATTAAAAAGCTACTGTGCATTTTGATGCCTCATGGACATCCTCTAATGTTCTAGTGTGTATAAAATTCACAAATGGAGTAGGGGAAATGTAAAAATAGAATTGATTTTTGTCTAATCATTAAAATGTTTACTTCTCTCTTTTCCTATGATTTCTGAGTTACTGCTGAAAGCTTCCTGCTAATTAAGAACCCTCCCTGCTATTATTAAGTCAAATTGTAAAGGCTTTAATGAAATAACGGTTGAAAAACTTGTTAGTTTTATTTTCATCTTATTTTAACAATTTTGCATTACTTAATCTAAATTTCTAATGGTTTTCTTTTTTTTCTTCTTTTGTGGTAGTGAGGTTTGAACTCAGAGCTTTGCATTTGCTAGGCAGGCACTTTACTGCTTGAACGAATCCTTCAATCCTCTACTGGTTTTCTGATAACTTGGCAAATTGTGTAGTTTGAGATGGCATACTTTTTTGGTGCATTTGGTTAATTCCCCAAAGAGACTAGAAACTATCCCTGACCTTTAGAATTGTATTTATACAAGCAATATTTATAATACCTTAGTCTAACAAATTATGAATTTTTAAATAAAAACTTTTATTTTATTTATATGTGTATGACTGTAGACCTTAATGATTAAACGAGAGTTGGCAAAAGATTCTGAATTACGATCACAGAGTTGGGAGAGATTTTTGCCACAGTTCAAACATAAAAATGTGAACAAACGTAAAGAACCAAAGAAGAAAACTGTTAAGAAGCAGTACACACCATTCCCACCACCACAGCCAGAAAGTCAGGTTAGTATCAAATACTAAACTTTATATGAAGAGGAAACCACTGTCATCTGTTTTGTCAAAAAGCTTACTCCAGGTAGTTTAGGTGGATTACGTATGTGTGTATAGAAACATAAGAAACTGAAGGTAAGTAGCATATTTTGATTCAATTGCATGGAAGTAGGGAGTGGGACTTTCACATTGTAAGTGTAAACTACATCAAGGTGGTCGGTGTTAGTTGTGTCTCTCTAGCCACTGTAAATGTCCTATAGATTTAACCTGTAATATTTTCTACTTTGCTTGGAAACAATTTTTTTTTCATTTTTATTAGGATATAGTTGTCATACTGGGGGATTCATTGTGACAATTCAGTAGCTTTACGTTGTACTTTGGTTAGATCACCCCCACCATCTCCCCCCATCCCTGCCCTACTTAAAGCAATTGCAAGAGGTTTCATCATTCTGTTTTAGATATGTATATTTTAGCCCATCAACCATATTCTCTCACCTTCATCTCCCCTCACCTTCATCTCCTCCCCCCTCCCACAAGTAAGTCCCCCCACACACACTGTACCTGTTTTAGTCTTGTCTTTATTATTAATTCTAAAGTCAATGTTCAAAGGGATTTCTCAGTGTATCCCTGTTGTTAGTATGCTTTACCGGGTCAGTTGCCCCCTCTGTTGCTCTCCCTTACCCCCTCCCTCCTACCCCCCATTATTAACAGCTTTCAATACATCGTTTATATCCTCTACCTGCACAGATGTTTTATATTTCAGTATTGTTGACTCTCTATCATTCTCTTTTTCCTTTCCTTCCTCCCCTTATTACAAATATGTTCTACATACAAGTTTGTACATAATTGTATTTGGCTTTGTGTATATGTTTATCTTTTGGATCTATCAGAAACATTCTTTTGTGACCATGTGTTGCATGATTTTAGAAATCTTAAATTCTAATATCCATCTTTTTTAAGTTATGAATGTCTTCCTTTTTTTTCAACTTTCTTTTGGTTCATTTTGCTTTCCAACTATGGCCAGAATTTCCATTTCTTTTTTTGCCCATGTCTGTTTTCTCTTACGCCCCTTGTTCCTTTTATCACACCCTTCTATCAAACCTCTTAAAAACTTTCACATAATGAGGCCACTAAATTAACCAGGAGAAAGTCATATTTTAGATTAAATCTACTAAAAATTTATGTTTCCAACCTCAGATAGACCCTCAGTATTATCTGACAGCTCTTTATGTATTAATTCTTTCAACACTTTCTTACTCCTAGCAGATAACATTGCATTTTATTCTTCTGAAAGATTTGAGACCGTCAAAAAAAACTTCAGATTTTCAATGTTTTTCCATCTGCTTCAATCCTTTCCACCTGTTTGAATTCCATCTCCCTCTATACTGGGAGTCTTGCTTCATTATCCCATCCTTTGCCTGGATCTTAAAGTCTTCCATCTTTAGTAGGTCTTTTCTTCTGAGCACATGAGCCTTTCCTTTTCTGGCTATCAACATTTTTTCTGCATGTTCTTTGTTTTGAGTTTTCTCCTGGTTCTTGAGGATGGTATCCTCCTTTCCCTTCTCTGTCACAGTACCCATCCCCCACAGCACTGGATACCAGCAAGTTTGGGTCATAGTCAGTCTGCTGAGCCAAGTTGTTCATCAGGCACCTATTCCTCTCTGCCTCAGTTACTACAGTGGGATATCTGTGGGGTTCCAGAGAATTTGTAAGGTTTGTGACCCCTGAACAGTCCAAATTTAGACTGATCTTCTGAAGATGGCTCCTGGCTCTAGCACCCTGAGGGTCCACTGGAAACTGATATGAGATCCTTTTTGAAAGTAAGGCTACTTATTGTTCAGACTTCAAGTTATTTATCTAAGTGGTCTGTGAGCCTGTGAAACTTTGCAGAAAGCTAGGATTGCCAGCATCTGTTCTGATTTTTGCTGGCACTTTCTCTTTTATCCTTATTCCTGGAAAGGTGAGACTCCCACACCCCTTCCCCTGGCTCTGAGGTTTTAGATGCTGGGGTATTTTGCTTTTCTTTCTATGCTGCTGTCCCAGGTTTTTGAATCTTAAAATGTTCCAGTGTCTCTCTTGCTTATTTCAGTGCTTTCCCACTGTCACTCACCTCATAATGCATCTGTCCACCTGCTACTATGGTTCTTTTTTGTGGAGAAGGTGTTAAATGCTGGTCACCTGTATTCAGGCGTTTTTGTTAATGAGGACTAAATAAGTTCCTGCTTGCAAGGAACTTAAAACAGTGCCTTAGATATAATTATGCTATATCAGTGAGAGATCATTTATATACATTACATATGTATCGATTTAATAGTCAATGAACAACCTGATGTTTTCTCTAGTGTATGTAATTATTCTCTAAATAATGACTGTTATGGTTTTTCATCATATTTGCCACCACTTTTAATCCAGGTTTGTATCTGTTCCTCCCCATTCTTTTGTACCTTTTGGAAATGTTACTTTGGAACTGGATGCTGGTGGCTCATGCCTGTAATCCTAGCTACTTGGGAGGCTGTGATAGGAGAGAATCAAGCTTCAAGGCCAGTCAGAGCAAATAGTACAGGAGACCCTGTCTCCACAATAACCAGAGCAAAATGGACTAGAGGTGCGGCTCAAGTGGTACTGTACCTGCTTCATAAGTGCAAAGCCCTAAATTCAAACCCCAGGGCCACCAAAAAAAAAAAAAAAAAAAAGTTGCGTTGGTCATTTTACTCTTATCAGAAACCTTCAGTCAAATTCATGATCCTCCTGCCTCAGCCTCCCTAGTACTGGGATTAGAGTGTACCATCACACCAAGCTTACTTCTGTTATTTTTAAGTCCCTCACCTAGTATTCAGTGTTCTTCAAGCTTCCCTAAAGCTAATCTTTCTGGTTTTCTCTTTTGTGAAACATTAATTTTCTGTATTGCCCGAATTAGTCTGTTTTATATTCTAGGAACTCATAACCCGCTTTCCTATTCCATGTTATATTTCCCTCAGTACAGTTCCTTCTCTTTAGGTTGCCACTGTTTTTACTCCAGGAACATTGTGACTATTTTAGGAAATTACTTGTCATCTGTATTACTTCTAATTAATCATAAATACTGCTTTCAATAGATTGATAAAGAATTGGCTAGTGGTGAATACTTTTTGAAGGCAAATCAGAAGAAGCGACAGAAAATGGAAGCCATAAAGGTAAGACTGTCTTGCTTACAATTCTAATAGTAAAGTTCAAAGACACGTGACTTCTTATTTAAGTATAAGTTGTATTGTACTACTGTATTTCTACTATTGTAGGCTAAACAAGCAGAAGCTCTTAGTAAGAGACAAGAGGAAAGAAACAAAGCATTTATTCCACCTAAAGAAAAACCAGTTGTGAAACCTAAGGAAGGTAATGCTCATTTTTTACTTCTTGATATAAAAGTTTGTTATACATGACAGGTAAACCCACAGTGAATTTATGTGACTCTCTTCTGTTAAGAGTGCTTTGCATTAATAGTCTTAGCATTTCACTAATTACTAAGACTAGAGACAAAAGGTGACTGAAGTAATTTATAAATTAGTAGCAGCTAATGCCTATTTCAGAGTGTCCAGAATGGACCAGCCTTCCTCGACTTTGACCTATCCTTGGGAATGATAAGCCCAGAGCAGCTTGTGTATCTTCTCTAAAAATAAAAGTAACAGAAGGACTAGGATCTTTGAGCTCTGCTGTCTAAAAGAGGGCTTTTCAGAAGTCATTTTTTTATTTGATTCTGATATTAAAATGGATTTCTTACCACTTAGAACTAAAGAACACTGGCAAAATAATGACAGGAAGGTCTTTTTCAGGGATATTAAGAAGATAGACTAAGAGGAAAACTCTCAGGCCTCCTCTCCATTTCTAGCCTCATTCTGATTTATCCTTTCCTCTTTTGCATTTTCTTTCCCTCTGGTGAAACATTTGTACTCTTAAATAGAGTAATCCTCCAAAGGTAACGGCACTTTGAAGGGAGCAGGAGTCACTAGCAACACCGTACTAAACTGTTGGTCAAAAACATAATACAATACACTACTGTTTTGATACCATATCTGGTTTCAGTGTTTCCTTTGTTTTGTTTTGTTGCTCTTATTTCCTGACCTATTGCAGTTCTATTCAGAAATTTCTTACCTATGTCTCTGTATCTTTTTTTGATGGTACTGGGGTTTGAACCTTGGGCCTCACACTTGATAGGCAGGTGCTCTACCACATGTGCTACTCTTCCAGCCATTTTTTGTTGGGTACTTTTGAGGTAAGGTGTTGCTTTTTGCCTGGGCTTGATAGAGGGGTCTGGGTCATACAGGATTACTTATAAAAACTGGCAGGGAAGATAAGATCCAAACCTTCCCCTGAGGGTGCAGAAACAGCCCAGAAATGCCTCTTTAGTGGTTAACACTTCAGTTCTTGTGGTCACTTGCATCCTGCAAAGTGGGGAAGGTATGGTAACTAGTTCCATACAGTTCTAAAGCTATGCACAGTATAGGCCACCTGTCACCATTCATAACCTTTTAGGTGTTTTTCCCTATTTAAGGCTTCATGAATATTACTTGCATCTCATGCATACAGTTGTAAGAGTGAATTATGAGAAGGAACATGGGAAGTCAGAAATCAGTTAGTTATTTAACATCTGGCTATCAATCAAATCTGCTAATTGTGCTTGCCCCACCTGTAGGAACACCCAGGTTTCTCCCACCAGCCTGATCTGAGCTACATAAAAACCAGAGCGATCTCAAACCACAGGGCTCTTAAGCTGTGCAGCTGCAGCCTGCCAGTCTCCCTTGACTGAGTTACTTTCACATTTCACTTGCCATAATCTTTTCTGCTTTGCCCTGGTACAACCCTCCAATAACATTCAGGCTTGGAACCAGATATCTTCCTGATACCTGCCTGTAGAGTAGCTAGGATTTAGTAGGCATGAGCCCCCTTTGCCTATCTTATGTTTGTATCTCGAAGTGATTTCAAAATTTCAGGTTTTACATTAATGTCTTTGATCCATTTTGAATTGATTTTTGTACCAGGTGAGAGATAGAAAATCTAGTTTCATTCTCCCTACATGTGGATGTCCAGTTTTCCCAGCACCACTTGTTTACAAAGGCTGTTGTGTGTTTTGTGGTTTTTTTTTGTTGTTGTTGTTGTCAAAAACCAAATGGTAGGCTGGACACCAGTGGCTTCACGCCTATAATCCTAGCTACTCAGGAGGCAGAGATCATGAGGATTGTGGTTCAAAGCCAGCCCAGGGAACTCCTCACACACACACAATAAAAGGTGGGGGAGGCTGGTAGATTGGCTCAAGGTGTAAGACCTGAGTTCAAGCCCCAGTACAGAAAAAACAGATGGCAGTAACTGCTGAGGTTTATTTCTGGGTCTTCTATTCTATTCCATTGGTCTACATGTCTTTTTATTCTAGTACCATGCTGTTATTATTACTGTGACTCTCATAGCTTGAAGCCAGGTATTGTGATACCTCTAGCATTGCTCTTTGTGATCATAATTGTTTAAAATACTATCTATGGAGATAATTGTTATATAAGAGTAAAAAATGTCATAAGCATTATAATTTCAGTTTATACAGTTGTCAGTTAAATACTTTGAAGATACTTGGTAGCCAGGTAATTTGGGTCTATAATAATTAAGCATAGTGGAGGCTTTAAATCTATACTTTCAGTGGCTGGGTTGATGGTATGGTGACAGTTTGTATCTTAAATCTTTTTCATTGCTTCCTTTATTTTGTTCATGGTTTTGACATTGATCCTTTGGCTCTGTTAGGAAGACCACCAACTCTTAAATCATTGTCTTTATTGCAAAAATTTTGTTAAATACAGTACTCCAATCATTAATTAATTGAACTATTATTTGGAAAATGTTTTTTAACTTTTGTTGTAGTTTCAGATGAAATAGATTTTGACCTGTAGCTTCATAATTAGCGAATTAAAATTTCTGAAGCTAGAAAGACTACATGTAATATTTTTCATAAAATGTAGTTTTAAATTATTTTTGTGTGAGAGATCGAAAATGGTGTATACTAGTGAATATGGAAAAGACTTCCTAAATATGGAAAACACTAAGTAAAAATAACCTACTCTCAAGTGGGATTTATGGAAAGAATGTAGTTCTAATATAATTGAATTCAGTACCTGTCATGCCATTTTCGTGTGTATTTTGAATACTGTATAAAGTACTTTGTTTTATGATGTGTTTTTGATTGAAGAAATTTCTAACTTTCCTTTAGGCAGGTGTTTTATATTTTATAACATGACTTTTCAGTTACTAAAATAGTACTTTGAAATTACTGACTCAAACACATATTCTTTGTTTTAATTTCTAAAGGATTTTGCATATTTTATTCTTTCTTGATTTTTCTAGCTCCTACTGAAACTAAAATTGATGTGGCTGCCATCAAGGAAAAGGTTAAGAAAGCAAAGATTAAGAAACTGGGAGCCCTTACAGCTGAAGAAGTTAAGCTTAAGATGGAAGCAGATGAAAAGAAGAAGAAAAAGTAACATTTAAAAAAAACAACAAAAAAACCTGAACTAGAATTTACGAAGCTGTCTCCTTTTGTAAAGGATTTTGAAATACCAGGGCATTAGTTGCCTTATCCGTGAGAACTAATACTCTGATCACTCTTTTCTGAGTTTCTTTTGTCCACACAGCAGTATTCCTTATAAATATATTCTTCATGTGTTTTGAAAAAATTTGTGCTAAAAATTGGTATATATGTATTTGTATACATTGTGTCTAATTAATTGTTTTGCCTAAGCCTGATTTTAGCAGTAACTTTCTAGTTTGTTTTTTTTTTTTTTAAATAGGGAGATTTTTTGGAATGTGACTGTTGTAATTATACATTTATTCCAATGTCTAATGCCATTGGATAGTCTCTAAATATAATCATGTCCCAGCATTTGGGTTTGAGGAAAATAAATGCAATTTTTTTTCAGTGCTTTCTCGCTCCCTCTCTAATAAGTTAATAGTTTGGCTTAACCCTTTTCCCTTTTTACCACTTCATTTTAAATTTCATTCTAAGATTAAATAGCTCATAAGCAGAAAATACACCTCTGAAATAAAATTCCATAGTTTCTATTTTATTTTGAGTCTGGGAAAGTGGTGAACCTTTCACATCAAGTTGCAAGAGAGCAAGGGAAACCAGGCCTTGAGGGTTGAAGCAGCAGAGGAGGATTACTCCTTTTGGGGGTTGTTTTGATTTTGAGATAGTGTTGCATGTGTAGCCCAGGCTGGCTTTAAATTCAGTTCTCCTGCCTCAGCCTCCCAAGTACTGGGGTTACAGGTGTGTGCCACTATGCCTGGTCACAGTGGTAATGTTTTTAATTAGACTTAAAATTACCTAAACCCAGCTCACTGATTTTATAGATTTAAGGGATGAAACACAGGTCACTGGAAGTACAACTGTGGAAATCTGAAAACAGTACTTATTCATAGAAAAGTAGAAAGAAAACACAGTTTATCCTATACAGTTAGGAAGCTGAACAGTTTTTCTTTCGACTGAGGCTTTACTATAGTGGCATATTTTTTTAAAATAGAAATTAGAAATCCCCCCAGTTTTTTATTTTTAAAAGCCACCTATAAATCATCCTTCCTCCCCCACCCTCCATATTAGTCCAAAATAACTAAATTAGGGTATTTCTGCTTTACCAAAATTGTCATTATAACAGACAGTATTAGAAGTACCGATTTAACGATAAGAACGAGAGATGTGTATCTGTTACGGGAAAATATGAGCCAGCTTGGATATGCAACAGAGTAGTAACCTGTGAAATAAACATAAAATGACCTCTTAGACATTGTTTCTTACAATGCAGTGACATAATTCAGTGGTGCTTAATGAAACAGTTAAGATTTATATACATACCTGTAACTTTGTCTCGCTGTGGGTTAACTGTAAAGTCAGGGAGAATTTTTAAAAAATGTTAGGTAAAGGTGATGCTTTTGTGTTATTTTTTTTTTTTAAAGACTATAAAAATCTTTCTAACCATTAACTTGATTTGGCTTTCCTGTAGTGATCTTCAAAGGTTAATTACTCAAGATTTTTTTTTGTACAAACTATTAACTTAGTATTTTTAAGTCTACTTTTATGGTTTTTTTAGCTTTTTTGTGTGTGCTGGGGGGTACACTGTGACATTTACAAAAGTTCTTACAATATATCAAATATATCATAGTTGAAATCACCCCTCCATCATTCTCCTTTATCCCTGCTTTCCCCCATTCCTGAAGTAGTTTCAACAGGTCTCATTTTTCCATTTATATACATATATACATGGTATTTGTACCATATTCAGCCTCCTACACCTTTTTCCCACTTCCTCCCCCCTCCCATTGGTACTAATGCCCCAAACAGGACCTGTTCCACCCTCCTGTTCTCTGATTTTGTAAAAAAAAAAAAAAAAAAGAAAAGACATTTTTGTTTGCATAAGATAGCTATACAGGGAGTTTCCTTGTGACATTTCTACGTATATATGTATCACACCCCAAATTGGTTCATCTCTGGTTTTCTCCTTTCTACCTTAATCCCTTTCTTATGGAGAACTTACTTAATATATAAAATTTTTATAGAATGGAAACTATGTCACTACAATAAATAGAAAATACAAGTAAAGAAATATTAGAAATCAGCAATTCAAGAAACTTGTTATAGTATTTTCCAGAAAAATAAGTTCCTTTCTGAGAAAAATGATACTGCTTATGATGAGTCAGTGGTAAAAAGACTGGAAGTTTATTTTTAAATCTGTGGTCTTAGTTCCTATGTTATACTGCCTGGGAGTGGGGAATATACATGCATGGACTAGGAGAGAAATGACTGCCTAGTGAACATTAAAACATGCTGCTGTACTAGTTAAGGATTCAGTATTTACAAATGGGAAAGGGGAAGAGCAGTTTAATAGAATTTTTAAGTTTAGGTCTGAAAGGACCTAAGAAAGCATGTAGGCAACAAAACAAAATTTCATGCACTGAGGCTTTGTTCACTGTCCTGCTTCTGTTCTAAGCACCCACACCCCACCCCAGCCTTGCTGCTCTGAGGAGTTCAGTTTGTCCAGATGTGGACAAAAAGGAATCAGAGGATCTGCACAACTGTAACAGCTGAAGTTTCCCTTCACGTCATAGGAAAATAAGGAATTTCCCTTAAGCATACGTTTATTCTTAGAACAGTAACCCATTATTTGGTTGCCTTCAATGCCCAATTTCCTTGATAATGGTTATTGGGTAAAACATAGTTGTAACTTAACTCTATGAAAAGGCTCAATAGTGTCTATTACATTGTCTTACAATAGGCCATTCTTTTTACTTACCACAGAGATTGTCCAAACACTTGTCGTTTTGGGGGCAGGCACTACATGTGGCTCCTTTCTTATATGGCCAAGTTGGGTAATTTCCTCTGTGAAGCAGAACGCTGTTAGTTTAGATGAGTTTTTGTTTTTCAATTGCAATTTACTATGAATCCTTGACCAGATTCAGAAGAATAAGGTAGAAGTCTAAAGATTCACAGTTGATGAAATATGTGAAGAGAAAGAAACAAGTGGAAGGCTGCTAGTATTTGTAGGGTTCTTTTTATACATAGGCCTATGTCTATGAGTCTGTCTTAATGTACATTAACATTTAATTACAACTCTGGGAGCAAGTTATTTCTGTATAACAGGCAAGGAAGCTAAGGATCTAAGAGATTATTAAGTTGCCAAAACAATTGAAAAGTCACAATTTACAGTCAGGAGGAAACCTAGAATTGTCTGATGGTGCTCTCTCTGTATCTTCTGATCTATGTAACTACTGCCATCCAAAAAAACCTGCCCATTTTAGAAAAACTCATATTTATTCTCCTCAGTGTACCAATTCATCATAGTTTTTATTAGCATCTGTGTCTCTGGGGTAATCCGAAAGAAAATAGTATGATATGGAGAAATTTCAAAGTACAATTTGTTTTCATGTGAAAGATTTGATATGAATAATAGCTAATAATTCCCAGGCTCTCAACTATATGGTGAACACTGTTTAAACATGCTTGACTGAAATAATCTTCACAACAACCCTGTGAGGATGTTACTATTATTTATCCCCACTATATAGTTAGAGGCTGAGGCACAGAGTATATAAATAATTGAATGGGCTTACTGATTTGACAGTGAGATACTAAGCATCTTATACCTTCAGTAATGATGAAAGACTATATTTATGTCAGTGAATCTGCCATTTTACTGATTTTTGGAACCCTTGCTTTTGGAATACAGGTCTTCATTCATAGTGACATGCCCTCTGTTACGCATTAAAAAAGATCTAGCAAGGGGTCTAATACTTACAGTTAACTTCAAAGTGGTGATGTATATAAACTATATTTTGAGGCATCTGCAACTAGAATGTGATGAAAATATCTATTTCCAAAAATACAGATGTTACTAACACAAAATTATTTCATACTGGAAGGAAATGGTATTTTCAAAAGGTATTAGAGAAAAAGATATAACCTTTTTCTAATTCACGTTCTGCTGAGGGTCTCTGCTCCTCTCAGTAGTACTATACATTTACCTCCAAAGTTAAGTCCCAACTTAAATGCGTAACTTTAACTTCTCATTTCCAACCCAGTATATATGTTTTAATCTTGTTCAGTTCCAAGTTAATTTAGGTTGCTTCAGGAATTAAATATATTCTTCTGCTTATTCTTATCTCATGGAGCATAGTCAAGGCGGTAGAGATTCTGATAGCAATTACAAAAAACATCCAAGGCAGACATTACTCATTGGGATGTCTTTTATTGTTGAAGTATAATACTAAGTGGTTTAAGTTCTAGGATGATTTTTAATAAAATCATTAATACTTATTCTTTAATTGTGCATTCCAAATTAAAGGTAAAATTTGCTAGTTAAAAACAAGGCAGTTATGAGTTCTAGGGAAATGGCAGATTATCTTTGGACAAATGTTCTGTGAGGGCCTGGATTTGTCCAGGTGAGAGTGATTAAGACCAAGGTACCTAATGTATTCTGCCTAGTGAAGAAGCAGGATGTTTTAATATTTATCCTTTAGCCTGAGAAAAATAAGTGCATGTATTTATGTAGTGTTTATAAAGAGTACACACACATAGAGAAAAATGCACCAAAATGGTAATGGAGTAATCTGGGCAGAACAATTAAGGGTCATAATTAATTTTCTAATTTACACTATTAATTTAGATATTCTATAACAAAGATGAACACTTTTAGAGTATAGCTTACTTTTATGAAAGAAAGTTAACTCGGGCACTTACGCTGGTCCATAGTCGCATATAAAATGTGCTGCATTTGTGAAAGTAACGCCAGAAACAATAGGGCAAAATTGCACTGCACAGCCAACCTTATAACTATCTGCCCAAACAACCTGAAAATACATAAGGATTTTTTAGTGCAGAGAAAAATGATAAAATGAACATTCGGATATAATTTATACCATTCATACCATAAACATGGTGAGATACGTATATTCTAGTTGTACAATACTATCAAGGAAGTTATAGGTGCTCAAAAGTTAGCTGGAAAGAAGTCTTGTAATTACTGTCATTGGTGCATGTGTGAAATACACTTAAAAAATAAGATTATCTTTGACAGTTACTAGAATTAAGATAAAACAGAGTAACGACACTGACTGATGGGGAGAATATGGACTGATTTAGCAAGATTGAAAACAGGATGTTTTTAAGCAAACATGAGTGATGATGATGCAGTGTTCACAATGAACACTGAGGAGACCTAAACAATGAAGAATGAGAATTTCATGCAGCCTTCTTGGTGACAAAGGCACTGAGGTGGAATTTGCTTGGCACTTTAGAGTGACAGAAGGCAAGTGGATCCAAGGACCTATTTAATGAAGGGAAGTCATGGGTACCGAGCTCAAAGGCAGAGGTCTAGGTTGTGGAGATTTTTTTTTCTTTCTCACTTTTATTATCATACATTAGTTGTACTGGGAAGATGCATTGTGACATTTCTGAAATAGCCTTACATTGAACATTAGTTAGGTTTGCCCTCATCATCTCTCCCTTCCCTGCCCCACCTAAAACGATTGCAAAAGATTCATTGTCCTATATCATATATGTACACAAAGCACATTAATCATACTCACCTTTTCCACTCCTCAAGTACCCCACACAAACAGGACTTACTTTACAGATCTTCATTTTAAATTTAAAAGTCAGTATTCTAAGGCGTTTCTCAATGTATCTCAGCTGTGAAGATACTGTACTTTGGTCAGTTCTGCCCCCTCTGTAACGCTCCCTTTTTTTGCTCCTACCCATTTTTTAACAGCTTTTATTTATTTATTTTTTCGTTTATTCATATGTGCATACAATGTTTGGATAATTTCTCCCCCCTAATCCCCTGTCCCCTCCCTTACCCCTCCATCCCTCTCCCCCCCACCCCCTTGCTTCAGGCAAAAACTGTTCTGCCCTAATCTCTAATTTTCAACAGCTTTTATTACGTATCATATTGTTGACTATCATTCTCTCTTCCTGTCCCTGGGTTGTGGAGATTCTTATAGGTGAGTGAGTGATGCGCTCTTTTTCATATTTTAGCAAAATCCCTTTGAACTGAGACAGCAAGATAAGAAAGAGGGAGGTCATTTTTCAGTGGTATAAAAGAAAACATGTGACTCATTCTCAAGGGATGGAGTTCCTGAGAACTGATCAGGTTCACAGCTCATCTTAGAAGTGTAGCTGAAAAGACTTGTTTTTGTTTTGAGCTTGGTAAGCATTCTGGTTTGGGGACTGAGCAGCATTTATTGTGATGGAGACAACTAGGGAAGAAGCCAAGGTGGGTAAGAGTATGAGCACACGATCCTGTTCAAAACATTTTAATTTAAGGTGCCTATAACACTGGCATGGCTGCTAGACTTAACCATCTGCAGATGAGAGGACAGGGTACAGTTAGAGATATAAATCAGGAAGACATTGGGCAAGGTAGGATCACATATGCAAAAATAATGGAGGAAAAAAAAGTGAGATTAAGAAAGCCAGCACAAAAACAGCAAAGCAGATGCAAAAGTGGTCAGTAATGTGGAGGGAAACCAGAAACAGCCAGTTCTGTGGGAAAGCAGCCTGTGCTGACGCACTGAATCCAGTGCTTAAAAGAATGCTAAACTTGGTTGGAACCAATACTGCTGCACATTTAGCACTTCAGTGATACTTTCCCCTTGCTTTTTTCAATGGAGAAGTCCTTATTTTCATTTTGTACTGGTCCCCACAAATTAGGTGACACATCTGGATCAAGAGTGTTTGGTATCATTTGCAGCATGGCTCAAGTGGTAGAGCACTTACTTAGCAAGTGTGAGGCTCTGAGTTCAAACCCCAGTATCACACACACACAAAAGTGTTTGGTGTCGTAGAAGACTAAAGTATTTAAGGATTGATACCAAATTCCACTTTATTTTTTTACTGTAAATTTTGAGCCATTTTTTAACAAGAATTGTACTGAATACGTGGGACACAAGGTGAATGAATTAGAACCAACAGATACCTTCACAAAAAAGTAGAGAAAAGTGGTCATGAAATGATTACATAAGAGTTATGACCAACATAAAAAGTTTTAAGGACAGATATGGAATAGCACCCTTCCCTGAGGAAGGGAGATTGAACTGGGGCTGGTCTGAGAGTCACAAGACATCTTCAGCATGGGCCAGTACCTTGTGTGAACCCAAGATGGTGAAGATCTGAAACAATAGCCAGTGTGACTGCAGAAAAAGATCAAGTTTACTTTAAAAATAAAACTTGCTCCCTAGGAAGAGAGGATAGCATACGGGAAGAGGGGAGCAGAAGATGGATTCTGAACTTTTTCAAGGTTTTCAGGTGGGACAGGAGGTGTGGGAGTAGTTAAGAGGTGGTGGGGAGAGTACCAGCCAAGGCAGCTGCTCTTTGTAGACTGCCTTCCCCTTGGTTTGCAACTGGGGAGGATCTAGAAAGGCAGTTCTGGGACCCCAAAAGAAGAGGAGCAGTGCTCTCCTTTGGCAAGGGATGGTCCTTCCTTCCTGTTCTGTAATCTAAGTGAGAACATTTCTCTATATCTGAAGACCAAGAACCTTCTGCAGGCCCATCTCGACCTACTGAATGGGTGTTACTGGAATTATTCTCAAAGTTTATATTGAAAAGTTCTGTATGCTAAGAGTTCAATGTTGTCTCTATTCCTGGCCATCACTTTAACTCATTTTGCATTGTCTACCCTTTGGTTTTTGAGCCCAAGTATCATTAATCTTTGGGTCTCTTGCATGGAGCCTTTAATGCTTTCTTTCAAAAATGTGCAAATGTTAGTTAGCATTCACTTTTAGTTAGTGTACTAGTCAGCTTTCAATCACTATTACAAAATACCTGAGATAACAATTTCTAAGGAGGAAAGGCTTATTTGAGCTCATGGTTTCAGAATTTCAGTCTATGGTCAGTTAACTTCATTGCCTATGGGCCTGTGGTAAAGCAGAGCATTGTGGCTAGAGCACAGGGCAAGAGGTAACTGTGCCTCATGGCAGTTGGGAAGCAAGAATGGGAGGTGGAGAGGCTGCAGTCCCAATAGCCTCTTCAAGGGCACACCCCTGATGACCTAACTTCTTTTGACTATTCCCCACCTACCTAAGGTTTTACCACCTCTCAAAGGCACCATGGGCTGGGAAACATGCCTTCAACACAACTGGTTTTTGGGAGATATTTAAGATCTGAACTATTACAGTTGTTTTAAGTTGGGTTTATTAGGGCATAATTAATACAACAGTAAATTTTATTCTTTTGTTTTTGAGACAGGTTCTTGTTTTATCACCCAGGCTGGTCTTGAACTCACAATCTTCCTGCCTTAACCTCCTGAGTGCTGGGACTACAGGTTTGTAACACTATATCTGGAAAATTTATTTCTTTCAGTCTACATTCTGGGAATTCTGACAAAATTATACAGTTGTATAGCCATGATAATCACAATCACTAATCTGTTTTTTATCCCCGTAGTTTTGACATTCCCAGAATGTCATACAAATAGAGTGAGTTTAAAAGTAGTTTTTTGAATCTAGCTTCACTTGGCATATGTGCCTGTGGTCCATTAATATTGCTGTATGTATTGGTGGTCACTCCCTTTTTCTCCTGAGTAATATTTATTGCATGGATATACTAGTTTATTTATCCACTCAGGTTGGTTTAGAAGCTTCATGGGCATGTAAATTCTGGATTAAATTTATGGCCCTGAAGCTACAAGGCCTGACTTCATATTTCTGCTCCTCCACTTATTATGAGACCTTGACTTATCTTCCTTGTCTGTGAAGGAAGGATAGTAATAGTACCCCATAGGCTTATTTTGAACTTTTAAATGAGTTAATAATAAAGTTCTTAACACAGGTTCTAGGGGCTGGTGGAATGGCTCAAGTGGTAGAGTGCCTGCCTAGTAAGTGCAAGGCCATGAGTTCAAACCCCAGTACCATAAAATAAATAAATAAATAAATAAAACAGGTTCTGGAACATAGTAAACACTCAACAATTGCTCATATTTTATTCTCTTACTAATTTTTTCCCTTTTAAAACTGATAGAAATATCAGAGAGATTTATGTTGTCTCTCAATTTCTTCTTATGCAGTAAATAAACATCATAATTACAAAACAAAAAGAGCTACTCATTATTGACAATGACATAGTGTTCAGCACTTCACATACAGTATCATGTTTGATCGCCATAACAACTTTGTAAAATAGTTGTTAGCTAATGCCTCTATTTTTATAGGTGAGAGATTGGAACCTAATTCCACCTGTCCAGGAAGTACTGTGAGAACAGTCCATGCACTAAGCAAGATGCCTTGGTGGTGTTTTCCATTTTAGCAAGTGCCCCAGAACCAAGGACTCTATACCTTTCTAACAAGCATTGCCTCTGGGGAACCCATAGGGAAGCCATGGCTCTCCTTTCTAACAACCTCTTCCCACCATCTTCCCCTTTTAGTTCCCAAGAAGAATCCAACTAACTCATTATCAGAAGTATGATAACAATGCAGCATGTCTGAAATCTGCCAGAGAATTATGAAACATACCACATAGCCTTTGGTTATGTGAAAGAACAACAAAAAGTTCAGGAGGGTGGAAGTGAGGTAGGGGCTAGAGATAAAAACAAAAATAGGATGAATAGTACCATCTAGTGGGAAGTCCCAGCCCTACTCTGCTTATAGTTTAGTTAAAGTATTCCCAAGTTTTTCAAAGCTGAACTGTCAGAAACAAAATATATAACTTAATTAATTTTTTATATTATCATACAAACCTTCCTAATTGCTAGTCTGTCTCCAGTGAAGACAAAAAGAAAGTGATTAACTAATGTATTAAGAAACATTACACCTTTTCTAAGGAAATAATTCATCTGAATTTATTCTCTTTACTTTGTACAACCAGCCATCATTGCCCCAAATCTACAAATAACTTGATTTTCAACAGAAGATGAGGATAAGTGGGAGGTTATAATATCCACTTGAGGTAACTTCCCAGCATGAATTAAAATGAGAAATTATCTTCAATCTTGAATCCCTTACGGAGATGTTTTATAAGGATGAAATCAGGGAGTCTTTAACCAAGATGTTTCATTCTTCTTCCAATGATTGTTGGAAAGGATCTAATCTTTGTCTGTTGCCTACAAAATACAACTCTTAGTTTAGATTCCTACAAAACAGAAGCTAAGACAGCAACTTATGTGCTAACACTTTATTAGGGAACAATCTCAGAGAAGTGAGAGTTAAGAAGTGAGACAGGAAAGGAAAGATTCAATTGGGAATGGTGTCTGGCTCTCAGCAGCTGGCCTTATTTTGGGGGAAGACATATGTATAAATGGATTATTACAGTGCATGGCTAGTACAATTCAGACAAACTGACACAGTGCCATATGAGCAGAGGACTGCACAACTATCCAGCCAAGGAGAAAGTGCAAGCCTTCACACAGCAAGAGAAATATGAGTTGGTTTTGAAAATAGAGTGAGAGTTTGTCTAATGAAAAGGAAAAGAGATGTCAGGCAAAATTAACAAGGTGTAGAGGTGCACAATGTATATGGATGACCCAGATACTTTATATTTAAAATTATTTTTATTAGCCTATATTAATTATACAAAGTGAGGGGTTTCATTGTGATATTTCCATATATGCATTTAATGTATTTTGATCATATTCACCCCTCTATTACTCTTTCTTATCCCCTGTTCCCAAACCCCCATTTTTAAACTTTCTTGCAAATTTTTAAATAATAGGTTTCATTATGACCTCTTTATACATGGATATAATGCACTTCCATATTCTCCCTTCCTTGCCCTCTTTTCTCCTCTTACTTCCTGCTGGCCTCCACCTGCCCCCCAGTATAGTCTGTCTTTTATGTTCATGTCTTTTTTTGTGAGAACCAGATTCTCCATATGAAAGAAAACGTGGTGATTTTTCTTTCTGAGTCTGGCTTATTTCACTGAGCATAATGATCTTCAGTTAGTGTCATTTTCCTGCAAATGATATAATTTCACTGTACTTTGTGGCTTAATAAGAGTTAATTGCATATAAACACCACATTTTAAAAATCCATTCATCTGTTGATGAGCACCTAGGCTTTTTCTAAAACTTGGCTATTATGAAGAGTGCAGCCACTATGGACGTAAGTATGAAGGTTCCTCAAAAAGTAAAAAATAGAACTATCATATATTCCTGCTATACCACTCCTGGGCACACACCTCAAGTCAGCACACAACAGAGATACTTGCACACCCATTTCCATGGTATTCTATTCTTTATTTTATGAGGAACTGCATACTTATTTCCATAGTGGCTACACTAATTTACATCCCTATAACAGCATATGAGGGTTTCTTTTCCCCCACATTCTCTTCTTCTTGTTGGTTTTCTTGACGACTGAGGAGAGAAATGTTTTGGTTCGTATTTCCACTATGTATAAGAATGTTGAACAGGTCTTCGTGTGTTTATTGGCCTTTTGTACTTCTTTTGAAAACTATTCAATTCACTAGCCCATTTATTAATTGGATTATTTGTCATTTTGATTATTTTTTAAACCTCTTTATATATCTTGGATAGTAATTCCTTATAAAATGAATAGCTGGTAAAGATACGCTCTCATGACATGTTTCTACTCTGTTTCCTATGATGTGCAGAACCTTTTTTTTTATCCAATGGAATCCTATTTGTCAATTCTTGGTCTTATTTCCTGAGCTACTGGAGTCCTATTCAGAAAGTCCTTGCCTATATCTATATCGTGAAGTGTTTTCCTATTTTTTCCACTAGTAAATTTCAAAGTTCCAGATCTTTCATTTAAGGTGTTTAATACATTTTGAATTAATTTTTGTAGGGTTCTTGCACTTAAGGTGTTTAATACATTTTGAATTAATTTTTATGTAGCGTTAGAGACAGAGATCTATTTTCAGTCTTCTACATGTGGATTTCCAGTTTTCTCAGCACCATTTGTTGAAGAGATTGTCTTTTCTCCAAAGTATGTTTTTTTGCATTTGTCAAAATCAGGTATCTGTAGCTACGTGGGCTTATTTTCTGCTTTCTTCTAAAGCAGAAGGTGGCATCCACAACGATGCAGAGAACACCCTCTAGAACTTTTAGTCCAGCTTGTGGTGCAGGATTCAGGGCCCCATTCTATCCCATTGCTCTGTGTGTCTGCTTTTGTGCGAATACTTTGTACTTTTGTGGCTCTGCAGTATAACTGAAGTCAGCATTGTTCTTTTTGCTCTTCAACTGCTCAGGGTCTTTTGTGCTTCCATATGAATTTTAGGATTGTCTTTCTTATTTCTGTGAAGAAAATCATTGGTATTTTGATGGCTGGTATTGGTTTATGGATTGCTTTCAGCAGGATAGCCATTTTCACAATATCAATTCTGCTGATGCATGAACATGGGAGATTTTTTCATCTACTAGTATCTCTATAATTTAACTCATTGGTGTTTTATAGTTCTCATTGTAGAGGTCATTCACTTTCTTAGCTAAGTTTATTCCTAGGGATTTTTTTTTTTTTTTTTTTTGGCTATTGTGAGTGGAGTTTTTTTCCTGATTTCTTTTTCAGCATGTCCATTGTTTGTATTTGGAAAAGCTACTGATTTTTTGCATGTTGATTTTGTGTCTTGCTACTTTGCTGAAAGTGTTTATTGGATATAAGGGTTTTCTGGTGGTCTTTAGGGTCTTTTAAGTATAGGATCATATCATCAGCAAATAGGAAAAAATTTGACTTATTCTCTCCCCCTACCCTTTTTTGCTTTCTTACTCTGGCTAGGAATTCAAGTAGGAGTAAGAGTGGAGAGTGGACACCTTTGTCTCATTCCTAATTTTAGAGGAAATGCTTTCACTTTTTCCCCATTTAGTACAATGCTGTCTATAGGTTTGTCATATATAACTGTTTTTAAGTTGAGGTATGTCCCTTCTATTCCTAGCTTTATCAGGGCTTTTATCATGAAGGAATGCTGAGTTTTGTCAAAGACATTTTCTGCGTATATTGAGATGATCGTGTGATTTTTGTCTATGCATGTATTATGTTTATTGATTTGTGTATGTTGAACCATCCTTACATCTCTGTCCCAGAATGAAACCAACTTGATCATGGTGGATGATGTTTTTAATGTATTGTTGAATTTGGTTGCAAGTATGTTGTTAAAATTTTTTGCATCTGTGTTCATTGAGGAAATACTTGAAATGAATGGCAAGTAGCTCAACATGCTAAATATAGAGTTCAGAAGACATTTCAATTTATGATAGACTCCTTACTCATGTTCATATACACAAGTTAAGACAGTTCATATCCATCATTCTGGGGAGTCAAAACAAGAGGAGGAAGCTCAAGTTTATGTCATAGGGACCTGAGATTTCAGAGATGGCCCTCCCAAAGTAAATGGGATTATTTGTAACTTCTCTCCTCTCACCTAGGAAAAAAAGAGGGCTAATATTTTGGATATGAGAAAACTAATTTTCTTAATATCCAGTGTTTTACATATATAGATATCAGAGGTCAAGGATTAATACTAGCCTCTACTCCTTAAAGAAAACACTACATTATACTTCTACCTCAGAAGAGAGACCTAAACATGGGGAGAATGTCCAGGGATTCTCTGGGTCTGAGGAGTGAAACTACAATGACCACTTTTTAAGTGAGTATGGGTTTTAGCTCTTTACATCAAAAACCTCATTTAATTCTCACCACAGTCTTATAGGGAGGTATTATTGTTATCCACAGATCAAAAAATGGGATCAGAGAGGTTAAGAAATAATTTCCCCACTATCATTTAGCTTGTAAGATTAATAGTTCAGGTTCAAATACCAGACATGTTGCAGGCTTTAAATAATATAATGTATGTAAATTATCTAATGAAGTACTAGAATTTGATACTATCCAGATTGATGGGCTTCACATGTTACTTTTGCCCACATAACCTCTTCAAGCACTACTGGTACTAGAGACTATTTCATTTATTATTTTAAAGAAGACTGTTAACTTCTACTCATTCCTATCTATATTCCTAAGTACTAGATTACTATATATTTTCTTAACATCAGATTTGAGTTTTCTCTTCACCCTTGAAAAGATAATTCTAATAAAATATAGGGTAGTACTTACCTGAGTGTAATGGCCACAGACTTTTGTACATTTCTGAGTGTTGAAGTCATAGTACTGGATTTCATTGTACCAGGATGAGATGGCTGAAGACACTGAAAAGAGGGATAAAGACCCGGTCCAGATATTTTCTCCCAGTGAAGTGAAGTTTGGGTGCAACCGTGAATCCAGCTGTGTGTTGTGTTTAAATTGACACTGTTTTGCCCATGCTTTTGCAATCTGAGCTAGTACTGGGTCCCAAGTCTGCAGAAATAATTATTAAACAAAACAGGAGTCAAGAATGGCATCTGTTACTCAACAGTATAACTGGGGTAATCGCAGGAGAATTTAAATGGCAACTGAGGTGCGATGACAAGAATGATGATGGAACAACTATGTATAGATGCTCTCTAAATGCAGTCTCCAAGCACTAACTAGGGTTAGTAGGAAATATGGTATTTTAGTTTTGTGGAATTTAGAATCTAGGTGAGGAAGACAGTCTAATATTTCACTAAGGGCAATTGTGTGTAAGATAGAGTATACTGTTTTTCACAATTTATATAATTTGTTAGTCCTAAAAAGTTCAGACAGGTTAAACACTTGCTCAAAATCAGTACTCTGTGGGCAGAAAAAAAGAGATCTACTGAGAAAGTGAGTTTTTGGGACTTTGAAACAATAATAATAATAATCAAAGAAATAACAAGGAAATTACATGATGAAATCCACTTGGAATTAGATATAGTTCTATACAACAGATTGATATAACAGCGCACATCACCAAGAAAAGGCTGCCCCTAAGAAGGCCCTCATATAAAAGTCCAAGAGATCTTCATCCCAAAATTAAGATGCAAAAATCTCAACATAAAAATATGAAAAAAAAAAAAAAAACCAGGCAACATGACTCTTCCAAAAGTTAACAGTTCCACAGTAATTGATGCCAATGATATGGAAGTGGATGAACTGCTGATTATTTTGGAGATGGGAGTCTCACAAACTATTTGCTGGGCTGACCTCCAACCTTGATCCTCCTAATCTCTGCCTCCCAAGTAGCTAGGATTACAGGCATGAGCCACTGGTGCCCAGCCTAGATCAAATAATCTTACTAGACATTTACAGTATATTCCATTCAGCAGTCACAGAATACACATTCTTTTCATCAGCACATTAAACTTTTTTCAAATAGATCATCTCCTAAGTCATAAAGCAAGTCTAAAAAAATAATGTTTTACATCTTATCAAATCATAATGGAATGACACCAGAAATCAACAGCAAAAAAAACTGAAATTTTACAAGCATATGGTGATTAAGTACTATGCTTTGAACAAGCAGTGGGTCATTGAAAAACAGGAGAGAAATTAAAAAATTCCTAGAATCAAATGAAAATGAAAACACATCATATCAGAATCTATGGAATACAGCAGAACCAGTCCTAAGAGGAAAGTTTATAACTATAAATGCCTATGCATTATAAAAAAAAAAAGAGAGATCTTGGGCTGGGCATAGTGGTACATATCTATAATTCCAGCTACACAGATGGTGGATGGAGATGGGGGGGATCATGGTTCAGGGCTAGCCTGGGCAAAAAAGTTAATGTGACCCTATTTTAAAAACAAGCTTTGTGCCATGTCACATGTCTGTAATTCCTGCTATGTTTTTTTGAAGCTGAAGTAGGAGGGTCTAGGTCCAAGGTTAGCCTTGGGCAAAAATGTGAAATGCAATCTGAAAAATAAACTGAAGCAAAAAAGGCTGGGGGCATGGCTCAAATGATAGAGTGCTTGTTTAAGGCCCTGAGTTCAAACCCCAGTACCACCAAAAAAAAAAAGAGAGAGAAAGAGAGAGAGAGATCTCAAATAAATAACCTAATGATATACCTCAAGGTCTTAGAAAAATCACAACATACTCAATCCTAAACCAGCAGAAGGGTAGGCATAGTAAGGATCTGAGCAGAAATAAAATGGACTAGAGACTAAAGAACAGTACAAAAGTCAATGAAACAAAGAGTTAGTCCTTTGAAAAGATAAACAACCTAACTGAAAAAGAGACCAAAAAAAAAAAAAAAAGAAAGAAAAAGAAAAAGGAGATATTACAATAGACATCACTGAAATCCAGAAATCATAAGGGACTATTTCAAAAAATTATATTCCTCCAATAAACTGGAAAATGTAGAAGAAAGGGATAAATTTCTAGACACAGATAACATCAAAATTCAATGAAAAAGATATAAAAAAACCTAAACAGATGAATAACAAGCAATGAGGTTGAAGCAGTAATAAAAAGTCTCCCAACAGTCAGTCCTCTGGTGGCTCACATCAACAAAGAAAAACCCATTTTCAAGAGGATTCACTACTGAATTTTATCAGATTTTAAAAGAAGAATACCGGTGCTCCTCAAACTATTCCACAAAATAGAAAGGGAAGGGCTGGGCACAGGTGTCTTAAGCCTGTAATCCTAGTTACCTGGGAGGCAGAGATCTGGAGGATGCAGTTCAAAGTCAGTCTGCACAAATAGTTTGAAAGACCCTGTCTAAAAAATATCCAGCACAAAAAAAGGCTGGCAGAGTGACTCAAGACAGCCTATCTAGCAAGCATGAGGCCCTGAGTTCAAACTGCCATACCGCAAAAAAATTTAAATAAATTAAATATTTTTAAAAAATAAAAGAGGAACCCTTTCAAACTCATTCTATGAAGCCAATATTACCAAACATGATAGATACACAAAAAGAAAGCTAAAGAAATTGTCCTTGATGTATACAGATTCAAAACTCCTAAATAAAATACTTGCAAATTAAATTCAACAACACATTGCAAAGATCATTCACCATGATCAAGTTGGCATCCATTCAGAGATCAATAAACACAGTACAGCACATAAATGGAATCAGGGGTAAAAATCACGTGATCATCATTTGATGATTCTAAAGCCTTTTATTAAAATTCAATATCCCTTCATAATAAAAACCCTGAAGAAATAGGTATAGAAGGATCATGGCACAACATAATAAAGGCTATGCCTAACAAACCCATAGCCAACATCATACTGAATAGGGAGAAACTGAAAGCATTTTCTCTAAAATCAGGTATAGGCCGTGATTTTCTGAATAGGACTCCAATAGCTCAGAAAATAATAGCAGGAGTTGACAAATAGAATTGCATTAAAAAAAAAGAATTGCATCAAATTAAAAAGCTTCTCACAAGAAAAGACACAATTATCAGAGTAAAGAGACAGTCTACAGAGTGAGAGACAGTGTTTACCAGCTATTCATCTGACAGAATTAATATCCAGATGAAGTAAAACAAAGTATTGCCCAAATTACAAACAATCCAATTGATCAATGGGCACACAAACTGAATAGCTCTCAAAAGAAGCACAATGGCCAGTAATTCCATGAACAAATGTTCGATATTCTTAGCATTCAGAGAAATGCAAATCAAAACTACATTGAGATTTCATCTCACTTCAGTCGCAATGGCTATCATCAAGAAAACAACAAATGTTGGTGAGGATGAGAAATGAGAACTGTCCAAAGATGGTGATGGAAGAAAGTGTTCACAAAGGAAGGAGCTGTCTTCTTCCCGAAGGACTGTGCCTGAAGACATCACCTTTACGCTCTCCCCCAGTCAATTCCCAACAAGTCCTTTGATGCCAAATCTAACCCAATACAGGTGAAGAATCCTGGCTCAAAGCCGAAAGACCACCCAGACAAGGGGGAGGGAAAAGAACGAAAAATAATAGGATCCATAAAAAGGGAGCTCCCTAAGCACTTCAGTGGGTCCACCAGTTTCTGGGTCCTGCTTCTTACTCTCAAGCAACCTTTTTGCTTCATAATAAAGACTTTCTTTGTCCTGCTACTTTCTGGTCTCCTGTCTTAATCCTTTAAGAGACAGAGGGAAAAAGGACCTACCACAGTTGCTAGGCAGCATTGGATGGTGGGTATGGGGTAGGTTAGAGATGACAGGAACCCTTATTTTCTTCTTGTGGGAATTTAAATTAGTCCAGCCACTATGGAAATCAGTATGGAGGTACTCTAAAAAACTAAAAATACAGCTATCATATGATCTTGCTATGCCACTCCTGGGTATATAAAAGTAATCAAAATCAATAAACTTGAGAGCTATTTGCATTCCTATGTTTATTGCAACATTATTCACATAGTTAACATATGGAATTAGTTTAGGTGTCCATGAACAGATGCAGGGATAAAAAAAATACTGTGGCTAATGTACACAATATAGTATTATTCATCCATTACAAATGCAATTGTCATTTGCAGGAAAATGGATGGAACTAGAGATTCTGATGTTAAGCGAAATAAGCTTGAGTCAGAAAGGTAAGTATTGCATGCTTTTTTAAAAATATGTAGAATCTGGAGAAAAAATTTAAAAGATGACACAAAAGTAGATAAGTGACTATTAGTGAATAGGAAGAGGATTGGGGGAGGTATAAGTGCGAGGAAGAGGGTCACAGGGGTGAGTAAGATCAAAGTAAATTGCATACATGTATGAAACTGTCATAATAAAGCCCATTATTTTCTACAATTAATATGTGCCAATAAAAACTTTAAAAACACAAAAAAGAAACCTCACAAATACTAACAAGAAAGAAAATGACCAGTGAAAAGGAAGTATCCAAAAAGAGAACTAAAGCACACTTGTGGAACTTACTTATGACCAGAATTAAAGGCTAAACTGGATGAGTTTTGCATACAGATTGTGAATTCACTGACCATATTAATTACAAGCAAAAAATCACTTGGAATTACCAAGAATTCACCCCCGCAGTTAATACAGGTGAGAGGTAGCAGTTAGACACAAGTGGTGGCCACAAGAAGAAGACAGGAAGAAATCATTTTAATTCAACTTCCCAGCTCTACTAATCTCTATTGAAGATCAGGTAGCCAGAGCCCAGGGGCTATCACAGAATGCTTTGAAGTTAGCCACTACCCTAAAGCTTAATTCATTCTTTACCCAACATAATCCACACCTTAAACATCGACTATGTTTGGGCAGGGAGGTGTTTACAAATGAATTTAACAAAACAAAAACCCAAACCTAAGAGCTAGGTAGAACAAAGGTTAAGAATTTCAAATAGAAATTCTCTATCCATTATAGCAGGAACTAGTAGATTGCTCAATGTCTCTCTTTAACAAGACAATAACCCAAACTCAGGAAATCACCTCAGGGGCCAAAAGGACCCAAAGCTAAGAGTTTCTCAATAAATATTCCAACAAAAAACCCAACTCCCTTGTTCTCACTCTAGATGCATCCCACTTTCAACCCGTGGAAAGTGTCCTTTCCTAATAAACGTCACTATTACTGAATCTTAACATCTTGCTTGAAATCTTCTCCCGCTAGACAGAAGAACTGAGGTAATTTTCAAGGCCATTTTTTCTGGTAACACAGGTCAGCTGTTTTTGACTGACATGCCACATACATTGACAGTTTTCTTACCATGTGTAGCATATTTCTGGCTGCTGGATTCACTTCTGACCGTTTCTTGTTATGAACTTGAACACATTCTTTGATGAAATCTTCATTCTTGATATCTGGCAAAGTATTTGCTGTATATAAATAACTAGAGACAAAAGAAACCATCCAGGACATTGTAGCAAATATGACCCACATGCTCACTCTATCTGGGGAGCTGGATTACACAGCCACCGATTTGCCACTCTCAGAGTTCTCAGACTTCTGTGCTGGCAAATGAAGCCAGGGCCTTCCACATGCTAGGCAAGTGCTCTACCACTGAGCGACATTTCCAGCCCTCTCTGTGTTTTCAGCTGCTGCTTTCCACAGCAAAGCTGACTTCAGCTTTGAGAAGTTGGAAAGCAGAACATGAGGTCATCACAAGTTTTAAGAAATGGGTTTCTCCATATATGGTCTGCGGCTCATTCTGCAGTCTTAACCCTGTCTGTTCAGTTTCTCGGTGACACAGCACCTATTACCACATAAGACTTTCGTCAGGCTTTTTTTTTAAGGTGGGAGCTATTTCCAAAAGAAATTCTGGAGCCTCCAAAAATAATAGTCTCCACTTTTAAAATCGAGGTTATGATAACTAAATAAGTACATTTTTCTGCCTTATATAAAAGACTTGTAAAATGTTTTTTAAACCTTTTTTTAAAAAGACATACTAGCAAATAGTGCTGGGAAAGCAGTAGTCCATCTGAATGGGGAACTGCCAGAACCACCCTAAAGATGGCGATAGGAGGAAGTGCCCACAAGAGAGCGAGCAGTCTTCTTCCCTGAGGACTGTGAATGAGGATGTCACCTTTACTTCATCTTCACTCAAACTCCTGACGAGTCGCTAGTTGCCAGAGCTAAACCAACACAGATAAAGAATCTTGGAGTGAATGCCAGGGAGACCACCCAGATACAGGAGAGGAAACTAAAGAAGGAAAGTAGCTGGATCCGTTAAAAGGAACTCTCTGAACGCTTTAGCAGACTACCAGTTTCCAGGTCCTGCTTCTCAGTTCTCTCAAAGAAGCCTTTGCTTTCGTTTTGCAATAAACTTTGTTGTCTCTCTACTTCTCGGTATCCTGTCTTTTAATTCTTTAATCAACAGAGAAAAAGGACGCATCACAGCTGTTAGCCGGTATCACATTCTTATCTGAGTCCCCCCTTATCAGTGGATGCCTGCAAGAGTGGATGGTACTGACCTTAGTATCAATACTAAGTTTTTCCTATACAGAGATAACTGTCTGGTAAAGTTCCACCTATAAATTAGGGAGTGGCAGTGGGAAAAGTGTGATTGGATTTGATTATTGCAGGCTATATGCACGCATGGAAATACCACACTGAATCACGTTGTTATGTACAATTAATAAGTGCAAATAAAATAGCTGTTGACCAAGGACTAACCTGAATTCAACCAGTTTGAATGAGAATAAACAAAATAATGACTCCACGATTTCTTAAGAAAAAGAATAGCTTAAATCTTCAGAAAAGTGACAAATCTCTGAGATATATTTAGTGACTCTTTTCACTTTGAAAGTCAAATGTGAAGTGAAATACACTGCTCTGTTTTCACATCACTTTTCTAAAGTTACACCAACTCCATCAATCAATACTCATTTTATTCTTTTTTGTTTGCAAGAATTAGTCCATAGTTGCAAATCTCAGTAAAGCACTGGTTAAAAGAGAAATGAATGAACCTAATTTCAAAACTTTTGCATTCATATTTCAAATGAATGCATTTAAATAATTTCTCTTGTATTTTATTTTGAATTTCTGGTATTCATTTAAAATGTTTGCTTTAAACAGTTCTTTCTGATACCAATTAGAATTGGTATCAGATGACACGTGCGGGAATTTCAGGTGCTCAGGGTTCTTGAACTTGCTCTGAGATTGAAAGCACAGACAGACTCTAACAGCAGAGGTTGGAAAGATTTTATTTGTAGCAAATACTTTTACATCTTCATGACAGGTACTGAAACTACTCCAACAGTACAGCCTCCCCTGGATAGAGCACCTGCCAGGCAACAGTGACTCTGGACTGGCTCTGGAAACCCTAAGACTACACCTGTTGAGGACAGACTGCAGAAGGTCAAGGAGACACTTCTCCTCCCTAGGAAATGCCTGTTTGCATCTGAAAGGCATCTCTGCCCTCAGGCAATGCAAAAATAGGCTATAAAACCCACTCCCCACCCTCCCCCACAGGATCACCGGTTTCAGGGTCCCCCTGTATTCCCCAATATTCAGTCTTTCTCCAACAGGCTAAATGGCTCCTGGAGCGATCTCTTGAAACTCAGGATTCTACTCAGGTATGGGAACAAATAAAATCCTGGCTTCCCTTCAGGACTTGGTTCCCACCCTTTCTGGGGCCTATAGTTGCCATTATTCTCTTACTTGGGTTTGGGCCTTGTATTTTAAACTTGTCAAGTTTGTTTCTTCTCACCTAGAATCCATCAAACTACAAATGACTCTGGTGGAGATGAAAACGACTTACTACTGCGGTCCCCTTAACAACCCCTCTTATGGTCAACCCTGACGCTGTGGGCCCCTTCATTGCCCCCTGTCAGCAGGAAGCAGTCTTTCTCTTCTCTTTCCTCCAACTAAATTCTCTACAAATAAAATCTTTCCGACCTCTGCTGTTAGAGTCTGTCTGTGCTTTCATTCTCAGAGCAGGTTCAAGAACTCTGAGCACCTGAACCCTGAAATTCCTGCACGTGTCATCCGTGCATCACTGTGACTGGGGCTTTTTAAATTGTGTAGACCTCTCCCTGCCCCCAGTTCTTTGTGAATTTAAACCTATAGCTGATGTCTGTATCCTGAAGATGGCTGAAGATGGACTGAGTGCTTACTCTGCTTCATCCTACAGCCACGTCCCAAGCAGTGTAATAAATTTCCTTCCCTGTCTTCACCATGGCTCTTCATTTGGTATACAGGGGCAAGTGGATGGATGGCCCTGACATGTGGAATTCCAGGAGTTTGGAGTTGGAATCTAAAACTTACTTCTCATATCTGAGAAGGAAATTTAGTTCTACCTAGTTCAACCCACAGGAAATTGTGGTTTCAACAGCAACGTTTCTATTTCCCTTGAACACTGCAATTGCCAACTTTGTAGTTTCTTTGCTAATACATTTTGAAAATAGGTCCATATTAGAGTACTTATACAATTATTTGCTATCCTAAATTGTCACTGGAGGATGGATGAGTGGGCTCCCATAGCTTCCCAGTTTCCATGCAAAATCTCAGGTCCTTGAGATCCACAAACATGAAAAGCATTTCAAGGTGTCTTACAAGGTGAAAGTTTTAGCAAGGATTTATTTTAGTTTAACAGAACAGACAAGCAGGGGAAGGTTTGCAAGAAAAAGAGAGAAACATTTAAAAGCTCAAAATGGTAGTCCCAATTCTTAGTTTTATAGTTGAGAGCAGGGGAATTCACTTGGCCAAAGTGGCTGAGGTGGCTAATAGGAAGTGGTCACCCTCCTAAATCACTCCCTAAATCAGAGACAATAAGATGTTTTAGAACTTCCTTTCCTACACATGATTATTTCTCCACCCATCCAAGGATCCTTGCAGCTCTCAGTTTCTGCAACTTAGCATCTAAATGAAGATGGGGGTGGGAGGTGCAGCTGCTATGGTTTTTCTTGTTTCAATGTCAGAGTCTGGCCCTTTAAATATTGTTTAAATATAATTTCCCTGTCCTCACCTATCTATACTGCCTCAAAATTATGCATTTGTATATCTTGAATAAAAGTAAAATTTAAGAAAAAAATGGATTTAAAAAGCCTTAACTCATTATCATTACTATAAGTAAAATACTCATGTTCTTTTTCTCTGACCCAGAGGTCTTATATTTTCTTTTTTCAGTGCTGGGGTTTGAACTCAGGGCCTGCACCCTGAGCCACCCCACCAGCCTTTTTTGTGGTGGGTTTTGTCAAGATAGGGTCTCATGAACTGTTTGCTGCAGCTGGCTTCAAACCATGATCCTCCAGATCTCTGCCTCCTGAGTAGCTAGGATTACAGGTGTGGGCCACTGGTGCCTGGCTTGTATTTTCTTTTAGTATCCTTGAGATTCTGGCTCACTTCTCAGGTCCCAAATAGGAGAAAATCTCAGATTGTTCAGAAATCTTGAAATGAGGCTAATTCAGATTTTTTTCGTTATTCTCATTTGGTTTTAGAAGTAGACTCATTCAAAAATGTGTACATTTCATCTAAATTGTTGAGTCTACTAATTAGAAGTTATTCATTCTGCTCACTGATTCTTTTCTCTAGGACTCCTAGTGTAAGAGGAGCTCAAGTTGCTTTTGCTGAAAAGCACTAACTCCTTACTTGGGCCCACAAATTAACTAAAAATGGAAGAAGCTTGACATCCCTGCCTCCCATTTTGTATCTGTCTTTGCTCTAAGCCATTTTTTTAGTCACTTTACAATCACCTTGGATTCCAGAAAGGACAGAACTGATAACATCTTTATGATAAGAAACCATAGCCACCTGGAGCTGCCACCCTTCCAGTGAGAACAATTCATATCCCAAGCAAGAGTAACCCTCTCAAACAGGAACCAGATAACTCCCTCCAGGTGATAACTTCCCAAAACTGGACCAGATTGAAAGGAATAGGAGGTCTCAGTGGGCCCCAACCCCCTTGTTGGAGAAACCAGTACCAAACATCCCATGTAGATAAGATAAGCAATGCGGCAGGGCTCAGTTAGGGCATATAGAATGTGGGGAATGTGAGCAGGGGGTACATGCAAGATGTGAAGTACGTGCAAGATGTGAGGTACGCGCAAGATGTGCTCTGCCTGCTTGCCCAATGTTGATAACGAAAATATGCATGCCACCGCGGTCTATATAAGATTTCCCCTAAAGAGGCTCAGGGTCGTGTTTTCCTAACCGGTCCTGCGTGTCCGTGTGGGAGCTCGACCCTGGCTAGCCAGCCCAATAAACTCTGCTTTGTTGATTGCATTCACGCCTGGCTCTCTGTCTCTCGGGGGAATAGGATTCCGGGTCCTAACATTTGGAGGTCCCACCGAGATTTCATTTTCTCGAGAGACAGAACCTGCCTGCGAGAAAGCAGGGGCGATCCCAAGTCCTAGGCGTTGGGAGGGGATCCCAGACCCTCATTTGGAGGAACTTGAGTGTTCCATTTGGGCCGCGGCGGGGATTCGGCCAATCCCCAGGGAGATTCATTCTGGGAATCTCGCAAGGAGGACCACAGGGTCCTATTGGGAGAGGCTTTCCTCTCATTTGGGCTCGAGCATTTTAGGAACCCTGGCGCCAGGTGAAGAACTAATTGAGCTAGTCGACCGACCACCCGTCAAGTGGACGCCTTTCGGCCTGATATCCCAGTTGGACGGTGAGGAGGT